TGGGTGGATGAGGTGTATAAAAAACGAGCAAAGCAAAGGTCGCTTGGTAACTTGGGTGGAGCGGATGGCAGGAATGCATTAGTTTGGTTGAGTGAGATGAACGTGACGATAAGTGGATAAGTAGATGAATGAGTTAACAAGAGTGAAGCTGTTTCGGTCAATCGGGTGGATGATTAAACGAGTGCAGTGAATAAATTAATGGATGATTCATACAGACGGATGATGAGGATGATGAAAGTAAAGGAGATTAACATAATTTTCACGGATAATTATCGTATCGTAGTAAAAACTTTAATCAGAGGAGGAACGACTTAACTAAAGATCAAAAGACGAGTGAATGATCGAAATAGGTTACTGGATGGAGTCTTGCTCGATAGATGACAAAGATGATAAAATATACCTTACGTCGAATCAAGAATCAAAGGAGTATCAATATCTCAGACGCAAGAACTAATTTATAAATGATTCAGATGACGACGAGAAGACGATCCACATAAATGATGAATAGTGTTATGAAGGAAATACTAAATAGGAATGATATTGATGATCAGGATATATAAGGTTGAAGAAAAATAAACAAACACGTTCTATAAGATATTTAAACACAATAGCAAACATCAGTAAACACTATATCACGAATTATTATGACATAAATTCGATTTTTTATTAAAATATGGTAATTAATCCATGTTATATTATAATTGTTTTATTTCTTTTTTTTGCTTCATATCTCTAAAAAATTATCTCTCAGTCTGATAACTCAAGTCTCTAGGTCATCAAAAGAGACATATTCTCCTTCCTGGTGTCATACGAAGCAGCGACTACATAGGTTAAAACTCAGACCCGGGATACAGGCCATAAATAACACTCCTCTGGTGACGCCATCCCTCGTAATCATCATCAATTTAGCGCTACAAACGACCTGATTAGTCACGTGACCAGCCAACGAGAAATAAATACATCGACAAGTGAGAATGACCCCAAAGCAGAGAGCAGATGGCGCGACGGAAACTCAATCTGAATGCAAATTGAGATATACAAAATTTTGAGGTTGACTGGCCAATTCAGACACGGTGTCCGATCTGCACATATGCTGTTATTACTTATCGTTTATATTTGGCAAAAGGGTGGCACGACGCTCTCCCACCACACCGACACGACAGTTGGCTAATCATCTCATAAAAATGTGCGCACCGCGTTGTTCTTTTGGTGGCAAATGGCGCATTATCTAGGGGGTGTTCCTGGGAGAGGGGGAGGTACTCATGTCTCCACCTTCCTTGTTAACACACTTGGTTATTAGCTTTCCTCGAGCTGAAGTTCTTTAAATATGGCATTACCACTAATTAAGTTTTTTACCTATAAATACTGGTGAATCATTTAAGACTAATATATTTTTAATGCATATTTCTCTTGTATGGAAAATAAATCCTCACCCCTTTCCTCAATATGAATAACATTATCAAACAGGATTTTTTTTTAATTTATATGAAAGAATCAGTAAATCTCACCTAGACACATCTTGCTTATTAAGGAAACTTTGCCTGTCATGAAATCAAAGCTAATTTTTACACAAACATGACCTTATCTCTCTTTAACGCCCACGAACCCAGACCAACAAACACTTTTTCTTCCCCTCCCTCCCTCTCTGCCCTCTCTTCCTCTTCATCCCCATCTGACAAATGCGGCAGATCCTCCCCCTCCGTTTTTACCAGGCCAACACATGTCCGTCAGCGGCGTCAGATAAGCTATCGGTACGACAAGACGGTGACACGACGCCCACCAGAGGGGAGGTCGGGGAGCTCACTTTAATTCTCTGGATTACTCCCCTCGGAGCAGCGGCCACACACACAGGGGAGGACGAGACTGGTGGTGGTGATCCAGGCGCCGCGCTGCCCACCTCTACCAACATAAAATTTACGACTTTAAGACTTTCTATAAATGCTACAAAGTTGATTTTAATAATTTACGAATTGTTGAGATTAGTGTGAGGGCCACATACGATCACAAGGAGGGTGAGGGAGGATACTGAAATAACATTATTCTCGATATTACAGAAACTCGTGTCAAACAATGCAGACTTAAACTACGCAAAGATATGATAAACTTACACTAATCCGAACTGTTTTTAATACTGAATGATAATCTAGGTATGATAAGAAAGATCCCCAAAGAGCAAAAAAAAAATCCCAGAGGTTAAATTATAGATAAGTAAAAATGATAGTGAAGGAAAAGGAAAAGCAAATCACATATCGCTGACAACCATTCACGGGAACGGACCATCCATCCCGAGTCAGAGGATTCAAACCCAGAATCAATCCCATACCCGAGGGAAACAAGCGAGCATCACCGCAGGCCGAGGGGGGATGAGATTGGCCAGTTTTGTTATGGTTATTCTTTTCTCTGTTTTCCATTAGAGTGCCATTATGAGGTCGTGTGCCAATCCCGACCAAGAAGATTAGGATTGTTATGGTGTGTTTTGGGTGCCCTATTCTCGGTCGGTAGGGGGACCCGGGGTTATGAGGGAGGGGAGAGAAGTGAATGTAGGGGGAGAGAAGTGAGAGAGAGAGAAGAGGGGGAAGACAGAGAGAGAGAGAGAGAGATGTAGGAGAGTAATACAAGAGGAGAAACCGTGAGGGAAAATCATTTTGTATGGTAATGCTGTACTGAGAGCTGATTTGTTGTGACTCGGGATGTGAAAAAGGTAGCAAGGAGTGGTGATTACATTACTTTGAGGGAGAGCTTGGAGGAGGACGAAGCGAAGAATGAGTCAGATCGAACCGGAAAAGAGAATAAGAATGATAAATAAATGAAGAGGTCGAGGAAATAATGGTGATGAAAGGAAATATATAATGGAAGAAGAGAACAAGAGAAAGAAGGAGGATTTAGAAAGTGGCTGGGAGGGAAATGTGGAATTGTGGAGAACGGTGAAAACACACAAGGGGGGGAGGGGAGGGATGAGCGTGAATCTTTTGGAATGCACCGCAGACCTGCTCCTCTTGCCTGTACAGTATAGTCTCCAACGAAATGATTTGTCAGGTGATAAAACAGAATGTTGACCGTCTTAATGTGACACTGATGCAGGTACTGGTGACATCTACAGTATATATACTCATAGTCAACACAGACACGCACGGAACAAAAATGAATAAAGTGACATGTGAAAAACTGACTACGACATTTTGATTTAATAATTTCCATATAAAAGTTTGAAACTGAATACGTAGTGAAAAGAATGGAGACATTTATATTATAAATCAACAAACGTTTGGATCATTTTGTGCAATAGATCTGTATCAAAATTAGAAAACAATTATTGTTAGTCAAATATACAGTACACATACAATATATATATATATATATATATATATATATATATATATATATATATATATATATATATATATATATATATATATATATATATATATATATATATATATATATATATATATATATATATATATATATATATATATATTCACAGACACAAGCACATATAGAGAGAGAGAAAGAGAGAGAGAGGAGCGAGGGAGAGAGATGGAATTCTGTTCTGGTATATTTTGATGGAGTGTTTTCGATTAAGCTAATACCAGGGGCGAGGGTCTGGTGCGCGCTGCGTGACGACTGGGTGACTTTTTCAGTGTGGCGAATTAGTTGATATGTGAGAATGATGGAGCCAATAAAAAATAACAAAGGCTTCAAAAACACCGGTTTAAAAGTTCATTCGAAATGCGTAATGTGTTTTATATATCTAAATATTGTTTTGAATGCGCTTTTTTGGGATATGGATGTGAATTTAAATAAACCCGGCCGGTAGAGAAAATTAAAAAAATATAGACATAAAAGTTTTTAGGTATTAAAATTGATGCTCTATAGAAACTGATAACTAACTTTGATTTTCCCTTAGATATCACATCACCTCCTGGCCATCGACCGGAAATGATATAAAAACAAGATCACCAGTCATCGGATTATTCATAGATGGTCGGCTCCATGAATATACTCACCAGTGCTAGCGAATTATCGACTGGTTACTGTTCCCCCTCGTAACACAGCGCATGCGACTCTCCCTTTTACTCCAGCAGGCTACAAGACCCAGACTGTGTGTGCCATTAAGAGCGAACGATAACAGGATTTATTTACTTTAATGATAAGGGTCATAGTGCGACGCCTGGGAAACCCAAAAAGGCTCACTACTTTCCCGCGCGGATAAACTGAGACTTGAAGTGCGGTCAGGGGCGAAACATGGCTTCCTACCGACGTCAACTTGTCATCCCTCATAGACGCAGAAATTTGTAAGCTCCGGTGGGTTTTACCGCTGGCTTTTGTGTTACCGGGAGGATCCTGCGACGCTGCGGAAAGCATTATTTATTCGGATGTGAGTATATATCAGGAGGTATAAAAGGAAGAATCCATCCGTGGCACTATTCTATGCAGAAGGAGCTGAAGACAAACTTCCTCAGACGACATGAATGGCAGTGGCACAATAAGGAATCATTTTTTGTGTCCCCATTCGCAGTACAAAGACGTTTTGCTTCAGAATATGTATGGTGGGAAGCAAGACGGGAACTATGGGCGGGGATTCTGGTGAGAGGGCTACTGATAAATTTGTTATTCTTGGGAGTTAAGAGTTCCCACGTGAACCCTTTAGGCTAGGCTGGTGGTGGTGCTGCTCTCACGACCTACTGTAGTCTCGAGGCTTTACTGCTGGCCACACCTACAACATTTATAACCCTGATACGGATATTGTTCTTGAACCTCATCTCACACTCAGCTTACTCCATTATATAACTCTATACCAACGTCAAAAAAGGAGAATATCTCCCAATATAACTAATTATAGTCATTTCTGCTTACTACCTCTGGAACCAGCACTACTAGCATTAATACTATCACCAGGTTATCAATATAATGACTACCATTACTCCTATTATTACTACTACTACTACCATTGCTACTACTGCTACCATCCCCACAAACACGATCAAGGAAATACATACCTGGATAGTATCTTGGAGACGCAGCCGTGGGAGACTCGAAGCTGGCGGGAGATGTCGCAGGGGCGGACACCGTTGTGGGCCAACTCCACGATCCTCTGGCGCACCATGTCTGGCAGCGGCCGCCCGTTCACGAACACACCGCCCAGCTGGTTCACACCGCCGTGACCTGTGGCAGAGATAAGAACGTTATGGTCTGGATTCAATAATATTCCTCCTGTAGATGATTGTCTGACCTGCACGGAGACATAAGGGTTGGGAATTGTGCTGCATCGAGATATGTTAATGGTGTCCTGGCTTGCTGAGTAACATGTATAGTATATTATGGTCAGACCTACATAGAGAAACGTGGATTATGGTCTGGGTTACATGCAGTGAGTACGTAGTATAGATGAGGTAAGCAAAACAGAGAAGGGAGATAGTATGAGCTTATGGCCCGTAGAAAGGAGGCGGTGGCTTGTGGACAGAGGACCGATAGAGAAAGGTGGGGAATGCAGGGGAACAAAGGTGTGGCCACCTTTTGGAGACGAAACTAGGGTCTGCAGGAGAAAAAATGATGGCAACGCTGTTTACTTCCATACCGGCATAACACGACGGAGTTACTACTAATACCTGAACACTCTATAGTGGTATTGTTGTGTCCATGAAAAGTGTTCTCCCTATAACATCTGATCTATATAGTTAGTGACACTCTAGCACCTCAAAGATACAGTTTTTTACAGTGTATCATACAAGGCCACATGTAATGAGTCTAATGCATTCATTAACAAAAGAAGAGATAATACGGTTTTTCAATATTCAGTGTCGGAGTAAACAAGACACAATTTTCCAGGGCGAAGTCGAGAGTTTGTGTGGGGCACGTGGCGTGGCTCCACCAACCTAACAGAAAAAATAATGAGGGTCGCCACAATAGGCTAGAGTGACCTTCTTCATAAACAGGGTATCAATCTCAAATCCGTCATTGTCAGGCACAACCGGACTCCATCGCGTATTGTATTGAGTCATTTATACGAGCATTACAAGGCGGTCTCGGATAATACACGTTAAAGTGAGCATTCGGGAGCCACTCACACGATTCCAGAAACGTTCGACACCACAACCGAATTTTCCGCTCGACTACCAAGGGTATTGTCACCCCGATTAAATAAATAAACGGATGAAACACTATGAAATGAAGCGGTAGTTTTCCAAACAGCGAGGTGAATAGTGAGTGTTCAGGGCAGCTGCGCTTCGTGGGCATTCACAGCGCAGGCCCGGCCGGGATGGGCAACCCCACCACCTCCCTCCACCCACTTCAGCGAAATAAGGACGGAATTTACTGAGCATTTCCCCGTTGGTATTCGAAGTCTGTGGTTGGCTTTTACTACACCACAACAAACTTCCGCACCTAACGTGGTGCGTTTTCCACAACTTTATACAACTATTTTATTAACTATTAATGGCTGTACTATGGGAAATTTGCCAGTTTACCAACAATCTAAAATATCGCTCAGAGCAACTTCATAAGTCGCTCGGGGTTGACTTTACAGAGGCAGTCTAGTCTTTCCATGCTTGTTTTTTTTTTCCTCTTTCTTCATTATCCCAACCTCAAGGGCTCTTGCGGAGGGCACATTACATGCTATATGATTCTTTATACAGACGTGACCCAGAGGCTTTTATCTCGTGCAGAAGGCGAGACCGATATGCCACTTGATACCCATGCTGTTGTAGAGGGGCAGGACACACTATACACAGGGTTCACACCTCCCGCTACCTCGCAGAACAGATCAAGATACTCATTAGGCCTCCCTCAGGCCTCCATGTTGATGGTCAAGCAAATGCAACAAAAATGGGTGATTGAAATGCAGGAACAAATAATAAATCAGAGTGTGGAGGTTGCATGTGCGGGTCGCTATAAGAGAGGAGGTGATACAGGGACCGGGGCAGCCTGGGAACCTGTAATGATGTATTGTTGCATGAGAGGTGCGACTCTGCTCTTATATTTTACAATAAAAGTGTATATGTAGCCGAGCTGTTTTACACATACCAATATGCTAGTTCAGAATTTCACTATGATTTAGAACATTGTTATTTCATGACAAATTTAATGGTGGATTTTCAAGCGTATCCACAAACCACAATAACACTGGAAATAAATACATTTAAAACAGGGCATCGCCAGGCCACGTGAATGGTGTCAATCAGGCCTGTGTCCAATCCAGGTGTCCTATGGTTCCTGCGCCCCTGTGCTCCCCCCCTCTCTCTCTCTCTCCATACCCCAACCAGACCCAGAATGTTACCCCCCTATCCCCCAGCGGGAGACTCACCGCATGGGTCCCCGCCCTGTGCGGTGCTCAATACCAAAGGGAATAACGTTATGATACTGCGGCGTCGGTCACTTCTAATAATAAACCCCAAGAGTCGGCCAGCTGGCTTGTTTACTGAGAGGCGGCGCTCTTAATTCCTCATTACCATGGTTGATCTGAGGCGCCTCACTCGTATTTCCACCCAATCCTTCCATCACCCTAGTCTGTCAAGATATTAATTATGCATACACACTCATGTCGCTCATAAGATTACAAAGAGATTGGTAGATAAACCTTTCAAAACATATGTTCTACACACTTCCGCACCTGTCAGAGGGTCTCTCGAGTGTCATCTGTTTGTGTTAGATCAGATAAGTGGATTTGGGGCCGAATAAGTGGCTGGGGGATCAGATAAGAGGCCATAAGTGGGTGTTGATTCGTGTATCAGAGGGAGGGGAATCTCCAGTTTGTGTACAGGACGAGAAGAATGACGGCTTTGTAACTAGGTACTGAGTTGTCGATCATGAAGGTTGTATTAGAGAGTTGTAGCCTGGTGAGGGTTAAGCTTATTGCAGTCAGGGTTGTGAGTTATAATTGTAATTTAACTGTAATAGATGTTCATAATTTGTAATTAGAATTTATTCGCATAACAAATTCTATCCAATATTTCGTTCTTTCAGATTTTTTCACTCATAACGGATATTTAGACGCTACCACAGTGAACTATATTGTATGTTATAATATATTTAATTAGAGCAAAAGAGTGAAGTAATGTGACAAGGGGAAGGAATGTAAACAGACGAGAATAACACACTAAGATGATATAATTGGAAAAAAAAACAAGAGAAAACAAGAATGGGGGAATGAAAGGGTTAGAAAGAGGGCATAAGTGGATAATGATCTACAATAACTGAAGGATAGAGGGAGAGAGAGATGAAGAGGAGGAGTGAGGGAATGGGAGGGAGGGAGGGAGCGAGGGAGGGTGAGGGAATGGAATGGGAAGGACGGTGGTAGGGAGGTCGAGAGAGAGGGAAAGGGAGGGAGGGAGGGAGGGAGGGAGAGCAGTAATCCGTCAGTTTTGCGAGCTCTTGTTTCTCTGATAAGCCCCTGGAGGGTGCCGACGATGGCCCATTATTATCAATTGTTTGATTGGATTAACAGCACGAGCGGCTGTCATCTGTCGGAGGAGTGCTGCTGACGATAACTCCAAGCTATTGTGGTGGTTAGTGGGTGGTGTGGTGGTTAGTGGTGTGGGTGGTGTGGTGGTGGTGGTGGGTGGTGTGTGGTGGGTGGTGGTGTGGTGTGGTGTGGTGGTTAGTGGTGGTGGTGTGGTGGGTGGTGTGGTGGTGGTGTGTGTGGTGTGGTGGTGGTGTGGTGTGGTGTGGTGGTTAGTGGGTGTGGTGTGGTGGTTAGTGGTGGTGGTGTGGGTGGAGTGGGTGGTGTGGTGGTGTGTGGGTGGTGTGGTGGTGGTGTGGTGGTTAGTGTGGGTGTGGGTGGTTAGGTGGGTGGTGTGGTGTGGTGGTGGGTGGTGTGGTGGTTAGTGGGTGTGGTGGTTAGTGGTGTGGTGTGGGTGGTGTGGTGTGGGTGGTGTGGTGGTTGGTGGGTGGTGTGTGTGGTTAGTGGGTGGTGGTGGTGGTTAGTGGGTGGTGTGGTGGTTAGTGGGTGGTGTGGTGGATAGCGGGTGGTGTGGTGGATAGTGGGTGGTGTGGTGGTTAATGGGTGGTGTGGTGGGTGGTGTGGTAGTGGGTGGTGTGGTGACTAGTAGGAGGTGTGGTGTGGTGGGTGGTGTGATGGCTAATAGGAGGTTAGCTAGTAAGTGGGTGGTGTGGTAGTTATTAGGTGGTGTTGTAATTAGCGTGGGTAGTAATGGTAGTCAGTGGGGAGTGTAGCTGTTAATGGGTAGTTTGGGTACTTAATGACTGATGTGATAGTTAGTGGATAACGAGGTAGTTATTGAGTGATCCTGCAGTTTGGGATAAGTGTGTTATCTGAGTGCCAGTGCTACTTATACAAACCCAACACTTAATAGACGTGATGTGTAGGCAATAAAACAGGTGGCGGAACATGATAACATCCAACAGGTTTATAATGAGTGTCGGAAGAAAAAAAGTTCCTATTAACAACTAGATTTTGTAATTTTTCCAGGTTACAGTATGAAGATTATGTAGTGAGTGTGGTTGTTTGTGGTTAGTGTGGCGAGAGGGGTGGTTGTGTGGTTGTTTGTGGTTAGTGTGGCGAGAGGGGTGGTTGTGTGGTTGTTTGTGGTTAGTGTGGCGAGAGGGGTGGTTGTGTGTTTGTCTGAGGCAATGTTCGTTCGACATAAAAAAATCTCACGAAATTCAAGACTCATTACTATACAATAAATAAAGACATTATAATCAATTGCAGTCTGTCAACGCAATGCGGGATCTCTAAAAAGTGTTGGATGAAAGGGTGGGTTTTGGAGTCTGGGTGTAGGGGAGGTGGTGGTGGGGGAGAAGGGGGCGTGGCACGTGCTGGCCCTTCAGATGGTGGCGATACGGGAGCCCCAGAGGGCGTCAGGTCCCGCTGTGCTCGTGCCCACCGCGGCATATGGGTAACAGAGGCGATAACACGGATTAATTGCAACTCAAACACTCCTTAATTTGCGTTTATACGAGTACATGTTACAACAGTGTCAGTGGCGTTATTCCCTCGTAAAATACCTCACAGGCGGAAAGATTATGATACGTAATTGTGGATTTATTTGTTCGTATAAGTTGCGGAAGTCATGAAACACACTACTTGTGGTTCTAAACAAACTTGTGGTCACGGAAAACACGAAACGACTTCACCCTCGGTGACCTGTGACCACGGCAGAGCTGTGAATAGCCTTCATTACTGGTGAGACCGCCCACAGGGGTCA